GGTACAGCAACGTCATGACTACAGTTTTGATACGGTGCTCCTGTACCTATTCTGTATGATGTACGGTTTTGGTACGGTGCATCCTGTACCTCTTCTGTAGGAGGTACGGTTTGACCACAGACGTGTTAGGCAAGTGTATGACCAATAGTGTCCTGTACCTATTACTGTGGTTTTTTGTAACAGTGTGGGCGTAGCGTGGCGTGGCGTGGTGGGATGCGGCGGGGTGGGGTGCGGCGGGGGCTTCGCACGGCGTGGTGTGGCAGGGCGCTGCAGGGCACGGTGACACGCTCGTGTACGGTCGACCACTGTGCCAGCAGTGTGGAGACCGGCACCATCCGAGCTAAGGTCGACAGGAAGGGTTGTTCGGGGGGTTGGCGTAGTCGGGGCTTTACGTAGGTGGGTGCACTAACACTGAGGGGAATGCAGGCGGGGGAGGTGGGGCGGGGGCAGCAGAGGGGACACCGGGTCTTGGCGGCAGGTGTCTCGCTCGGCGCAGCCCCGCACGGCCCGGCCGCCCCGGGGTTGGTGTTGGTGACGTGCGGCCGTCGCTGGCGCACGCACGAACATACCCGGCTAACGCACTCCATGCGGCAGAAAGTTCTTTCTAGAGGGTGGGGCGGGACTAGCTCGACGCGGGCTCCGTGGATGGTGCACCGGGCGCGGCGTCGCTGCATCACGCGGTCCGAGACACTCACGACGCACACGTGTTCGCGGGGCGAGCCCGACGCCCGACCGCGACCCAGCCGACGACGAACACGACATTGGCGTGTTCGGGAGGACGTTTCGTGGCTATTCGATACATGGCGCGAAAAGGATACATGGATAGTGTTGTTTTCGCAAGCGACCGTCCGACGTATAATGCACTCGGTAGGCATCACACCCTCAGAGCAGTACTACAGTGACTGCAGTACGGAGAGAAGAGATAGAGCGAGAGAGAAAGGGTAAGAGGTAGTGAGGGGACGGGAGAGCGAGTGAGGAGAGCGAGGGCGAGGGTGGTGGAAAGTTAGATAGGTATCAGTAGTGATGGTTAGCACCCCAATTCTCTTCGAGATAATCTTTGCAATCGTTGTTAAACTCCGGCCTAGATCACATGGCTGGGCTCCTGAAACGCCTCGCACTCTGCGTGCGCACGCCGCCGCTCCAACCCGGACGTCGCCCCGTTCTTCTTATCACACCAGCCTACAGCCCGCAACTAATGTTTTATGTTAAAACGACCTAGCCGTTAAATAATTGTTAGGAAAATTCGTAATGATTCAGCGAGTGGCAGCCTCGCGCGCGGACGAGCGACCGTCGTGTGCGTGGGAGCGGCGGGTGTGCGGCGGGTGTGCGGCGGGTGTGCGGCGGGTGTG